GTCAAGCTCTAATGAGTTGCCGTGCTGATCCAAAAACCTCAGCCCCAGGCGAAACCGAAGGGCGCGTCAACTCACTACCCTGAAACGTGAAAATGCCCGCAATGAGAAACGAGCGTTCGGGCTCCGCTTCGGCCGCTGACAGGAACTCTGGCGAAACCTCCGCTGCCTCTCGCTTCTAAAACTCTCGGTAGCTGACAACAGTAGAGCCTGCGGTGGATTGCGCCCCCCCCCCCCCCCCCTGGCTCGCAGAGCCCGTCGCGCAAGCGCCCCGCCCTCTCGGCGCGACCGTTGGCCCGCAACCCTTGGCAGCCGCAGCTCCTAATTAGATACTTCTGAACTGCACTGAGCGCCTGGCTTTCGGCCCGGCAGCTTTCCGGGCCAGGTCCAACGTGGCGCGAATCACAGGGTCGCATCTTAGCCTCTGGGCCAGACGGAATTCGCGCCGCCGCTGCGCTCCTACATGGCCCTTTAAAAGGGGCGGCGGGGCCTGGCTTAAATCGACTTCGACATCATTTTTGGCCCGCCCACGCAAAGGGCCCGCGACGATTCCAGCCCGCGCGGGCCAAGCTTTAACAAGCACGCGACGCTGGGTCCCACGTACTCTCGCCATGCTTTGCACAACTCCGGTTGGCAGGGCTCCCAGAGGTGGACAAGGTCGCCCATGTAGGTGGTGGCATGCTTTGGGCGAGTCGCAGCTGCCCGGACCATCCTGCACCACTGGCTTGCGAGCGCCACGGCAAATATCATGATACGTTCACGCTTTTGGTTCAAACAAAAATAATGTTGGCTGTAAGCGAGACCCCTCCGTGCGAGGGGGAGCCCGAACTACTCGCGAGCTTCTGGTGCGAAATCCATTCAGTTTCGGAGAGCCCCTGGACCTCGACCCTACAGCCGCTGGCATGGGCAACTCCCTGACGCTGAATTGTCAGAAAAAAGGGGCTCCTTGGGAACTTAAGCTCTTCCTCAACGGCCGCGCCTCCCGGACTATTTTTCTCATCGCTGCGAAACGAGATTGCTGCTTCAGGTGGGCTCGAAGTCGGTGCCGCGCAGCTCCGGCAGACTCGCCCACTCCCAAGTATTACGCACTCGTCTTGATGACTGACCTGGGGAGCTCGGGTCGATCACAAACTGCCGTCGCCAGGGCCGTGCGGGTCGATGCGGTGGCCAGCTTGTCTGCGCCCAGCGTCGCATTGATCGATTTGCCGGCCTCGAAGAACTGCTGGATGCCCGCCGCTGCCGCGCCTCTCGCTACATCGAAGTGGGTAGGCGAAGTGCGGAGGCCCGAGTCATCCATGTAGTTCTGGCAATCTATCGTCGGGGACTTTTGAACAATCATGTCGAACACGCCCACTGACTTGACCTTCGTGGCTAAATCGGCGCACGCGTCACCTGCTGGGGACCCTAGGCTGGCAAACAAAATCTCGCCCGCGCGATGTCTGCCTAGCCGTATCACTCGAAGGCTCAGCCACATGTTGAATGCCACTTTCAACCAGCGCGGTGGAGCTCCATGCCGCTGGAACTTGATTCTCATTATCTCTAACGGCATCGTCTCGTAGCACTTGGACCAGTGGGCTATAAACACTATGCCATATCTGCGCGTCGCTCGGCCTGCCTCGGAGCGGATTGATTGGGCCCGCGTACAGTCGATCGCCGCTCGGCCCACTGCTGCCCCCCCCCCAGTATCCACGATCGAGACATCGTTGCATATGTTGGACCATTGGCCCCCGAACCCGCTGCCAGATTCTGCACGTGACAGCGCATGCTATGATCAATTTGTTGCCTCCGCTCGGTCTACCCAGGAGAGACATCTGAATCCAGCGCAACTGCTTCGGGGCAACACCAATGGTCTCGGATGCTTCCCATATGGAGGACAAAACTTCCAATCCACCGTCGTTTATCATCGCTGCACGTCGAGGTTGAAAACTGTCCAGGCTCGCTGACGCGCTTGCTGAAAATGACCGGGATACTCGCCGTATGTCGCCAGGACCGAGTCGGGGGCAGCTGCGGGATGCCGATGGCGTTTGCAGAAGCTGGCGCTGCGCGAACTTTGGTGGTGCGACGCAGAAGTCGAACCCCTTTCCGCTGGCTGCAGTGCAACGCCATTCCGTCCAGAACTCGTTCGCCTCCTTCTCCTGGTCATTCTTGGCCAGCTCGACATTCTCGTCTATCTCATCCAGGAACGTCTGAATGCGCTCGTGGTCCAGGGGGGCCTGGTTGATCTCCTGACGAGCCTGGGCGACCGGGCTGTCCAACCTGCCGCTGAGACCTGAGCCGTGATACCGTGTAACCAGAAGATTTGCTATCTCTTCAGTACATTCATCCATCCGATCATGCCTGGTCAACAACTTCTGGATCGTGGTGATCCCTTCTCTGAGTCACTGCCAACCTTGGCCGATGACTTGGATGTCGCTATCATCTTTCATGTGGGGTGGGGGGTGGGGGCACTCGGCGTTGAACCACCAGGGCTCGAGGCCCCTGCCACATGCTCCGCTGTTTTTGATCTCAGTGCACGAGTTGCTCGCGATACACTCTGCAACCGTGACTGCGAACTTACCACGCACGCGAGTCAGGAATGCCCACGCACGGCATCACATTCTGGATCCTGTGCCATCCGGACTGCGTGACCAGCCATCGTTGCATGCATCAACCAGCCAATCGGCTTCGTGAGCGGTCCAGCTGGTAGCACCGAGGGCAGCCGCTTCGCCACCATGCACGCACAGCGTTGGATCGCATAACCGTTGTCGCCTATCTTGAGCTCAACTGGTCAATGTGCTTTATTGTGCCATGTGCCCTGCGCTTGCACGCCTCGAAATCCTCTCTCTGAGCTGCGTCGGTCAAACAACAATAATCGGTTGCCGAACATTGTGTGCCACCCCGGAAGGTAGCTTGATCTGGGATAACAAGCACCACTGTCGGCGAGGGAACCCGGAAGCTTCTAGGTCTCGCCCTGACATGTTCCAACCGCCGCAAAGATGCACGGCGTCGCCATGCTTTCGAGGATACGGCCAGCCGCTGCTAAGATATCTGTGTTCTCTCCTGTGGCACCTATCGAATCGCGTACATACCGATCATCAGAGACAAGCTTGTCCAGCTTGGGAGATCGAGAATCACGTGCTGCAGTCGGTGATCGTATATCAGTTCGCCAGCCTGTGGGAAACGCAGTCCCAGACCAGCACGAGCTAGGACTGCCACACCACTTGATGGGACTAAGACTACTGTCTGGGGCGCTTGTATAGCTGCAGATGTGTAGTGCCTCTAACTGCGGCTCCGTGTACCCCGTCTCCTGGATCATGACAATGTGCGCAGACGTTCTCTGCACCATTTGCTTCAACGTGCTTCTTCCACCATTCGCATTGAAGGTAGTGATCACGTATGCACCCTGAGTTGGCGGCGTGGGCGGCAAGCGTGCTGTTCCATCTTGCAATCTGATGCCACACACGAGGATGTCACCCACGCCGCTGTTTCTTACCGAGTTCTTGCAATTTGGCCTAGAACTCCTCGAAGGTGCATTATTTTCCCAAGTCGTGCAAAGCTTGCTGCTCGGTACCATCGAATTCCCGCTTGACACCTGCATGTTCGGCGACGCCGTCAGGAGGGGGCCCATCCGGCGTATCACCAGCCTTGCCCATAGGAACAACAGGAAGCCGCGCCGAGAGATGCTCTCGCAACTTCTCCCATACGACCGTGCCAATGATCTCCTGGAGCCCTGGGTCGTCAATCTCATCTTCTTTGATGTTGGACACGTCCGCTGGGGACTTCAACTCAGGCTCAGCACCTTTGGCGTCACCAGCGTTCGCGGCATGCTTGCGGACATCCTCCTGTAGCGCGTTGACCTGAACCTGCTTGGTCACAAAAAGCACACGCTTGACAGCAATACTCTCTTGCAGCTTCTTGAGCTGCTCCTCGTTCTCACCAATATTTGTGGTGAGGCTCTCGCACGTAGCCTGCGCCTTGTAGAGGTCCTGGGTCGCGCGCCTGTGCGCCACGGCCGGGGGCCTCAGCTGCTTCTGCGCATTCTGTATGTGCTCGATGTTTGACTGAATCGTCTTCCGCAGCTCTTCCCCAGCGTCACCCTGCGGCAGCGTCTTGATCGATGCCTCGAAGCAGGTGAGCTGGGATGCAAGCTTGGCTCGTTTGTCTTCTTCTTTGTCATCAGGGTGTGGCACAGACGCGGCCGTGGGATCAACTGTTGGACCTTTGTACCATGAAGCCGTCTGGTTGCCTTTCTTTTTGTCACCAGTGTGGACAAGCAGCAGCTTCTCGATCTCTCCCAGCCGCTTCGAGAGCTCGTGATCTGGCTTGGAACGACCTGCTGCGCCTCCGCCCGCTGATGGTGACTTCTCATCTCACAACGTCTGATTGTCCCACGTCGACTTCCTGATGCGGGCTGGGGCGTCATTGCCACACGTGCACTGTGCAGCGCCCGCAAGCCCACAAGGGGCGAGGCATGCCGTGCAGCACGCGAAACTGCGGCGGCTGCGGCACCATGGATGTGGCTGTCAGCGGCTGCGGGCTGCTCGCCGCCGACGTGTCGCGCGAAAGAGGGTGCCAACTACCGCAGATCGCAGCAGGATCGATTGCCCCTGAAAGCTGTTGGAACTGGCCGCGGACTAGCGGTACCCGTGTGTTCCCCTGTGGAGAAAACAAATATATTGAGCAACAAATGGCTACGGGGAGGCAGAGGAGGAGGAGGAGGAGGAGGAGGAGGAGGAGGAGGAGGAGGAGGAGGAGGAGGAAGAGGGAGGGAGGAGAGGAAGAGGGAGGAGGAGGAGGGGAGGAGGGAGGAGGAGGAGGAGGAGGAGGAGGAGGAGGAGGAGGAGGAGGAGGAGGAGGAGGAGGAGGAGGAGGAGGGGAGGAGGAGGAGGAGGAGGAGGGGAGGAGGAGGAGGAGGGGAGAGGAGGAGGAGGAGGAGGAGGAGAGGAGGGAGGAGGAGGAGGAGGAGGAGGAGGAGGAGGAGGAGGAGGAGGAGGAGGATCCAAAATTTGTCGCTCGTCGAGAACCGGGTGCTCACCGTGAGGCTTTTCGGCCTCCGCCGCCCGGCGCCCGGGCCCCCCCGCCCCCCGCGCCGCAGGCGGGGCAGGCACGGCGCGCAGGGCCCCGCCGCGCAAGGCCCGGGCATCGCGGGGGGGGGGGGCGGCGGCGCGCCCCTGGGGGGGGCGCCTCCGGGCGGGAGAGGAGGAGGAGGAGGAGGAGGAGGAGGAGGAGGAGGAGGAGGAGGAGGAGGAGGAGGGAGGAGGAGGAGGAGGAGGAGGAGGAGGAGAGGAGGAGGAGGAGGAGGAGGAGGAGGAGAGGAGGAGGAGGGAAGGAGGAGGAGAAGGAGGAGGTAGGAGGAGGAGGAGGAGGAGGAGGAGGAGGAGGAGGAGAGGAGGAGAGGGAGGAGGAGGAGGAGGAGGAGGGAGGAGGGAGGAAGGAGGAGGATTGAGGGAGGGAGGCAAGCAGGGAGGGAGGAGGGAAGGAGGGAGGGCGGGAGGGAGGGAGGGAGGAAGAAGGGAGGGAGGGAGGGAGGGAGGAGGGATTTATTGACCTCTACGGGTCCACCGCATAGTGCAACCAGCTGGCAGGGCGGGACCTACAAGCTGTGGGAAAGAGGCAAACAACAGTGCCAAAGTTGGGCACCGTCGCCAGAGACTCTACCCGTCAGCGCCAAAGAGACAGCTCGGGGCCGAGGCCACGCGCAAGTGCCCAAGCACAACATGCACCTGCCACAACATCTCTAAGAGAGGGGGCAGGCACACGTGACCAAGGGGACCCCGAGCTGCAAGCGCAAGAAAAAGGCCAGCTGCAGGGAGACTGCAACTGGACGCTATCTCGAGCCGACTGCCTTCGACTGTGCAGGAGGACAACAGGCGAGACAGCGCCCTCCCACAAGGGCCACGATGGCACCGAGACGAGGAGGGCCAAGGCCGTGGGACGCGCAACGCACACACGCACGAGAAGCGCACCCCACGCCAAAAGGAGGATGTTGGGGCCCTGAACCTACGCTCAAAGCCACAGCAACATCCGCCGAGCCACGGTCAGGATGGAGTCATCCCCGTGCTCGGACCAAGAAGAGGTGCACCCAAGATGTGCGCGCTCCTTCCCCCAGAAATGGGGTGCCTGACGCGCGTGCACGCTTGCGCCCACGACGAAAAAGATAAACCTGGCAAAGAAAGCTCGACCACCCACGAAAGGACGACGAGCCCACAGCCCCTGGTGCAGCCAGCGCCAGGACGACCGACGGACTCGCCCCAGATGTGGGGTGACGCACGGATGCCTGCCAAAAGGGTCAGTCGCATCGGGCCGTGCAGAAGAGAGAGATGGCGAACCCTCGCCACAGGGAGAACTCGACCACCCACAAAAGGACGACGAGCCCGAAGTCCCAGGTGCAGCCAGCGCCAGGACGACAAACGGACTCGCCCCAGATGTGGGGTTAAGCACGGATGCCTGCCAAAGGGGTCAGTCGCATCGGGCCGTGCAACAAAACAAAGACGAATAGGCGCCCTGCGCCACAGAGAATCAATCCGAGCTGTCCGACTCGTCCTGGCGGCGTCTCGCCAGGAAGGAGGGCGTGAGGAGTGGTCCCTGAGAAGGAGGCCGCGGAGCTGCACCTTCTTCGGCCACTATGTCTACTCCGCACGCATACGGGGCCCTCTCGATGGGAGGAGCAAGCTGCAGCAGACGGATGGTCCTTGCCATCGCAAGGACGTTGCACGCACTCCTCTTCCCCCCCGTCAGCCACACCCACCGAGCCCCCACCCACTCCAGACGGTCTGCCGACGCCCTCAAAAACATATGAGTCAAAACAGGCCATACAGTTGTCTAGGTCGACTGTGACCCGTTCTTTCCGCTTGAAGCAGTGAGGGTGGTCACCGCGAAGCAAATATCGCCAGCCATATCTAGCAGCACGCGACGGCGGGGGTGCACATTTTCCGCCAAGGCCTCTGACTGAGGCCCCTGGGGAGTAGCACTTGCATCTTAGGCATGTGAACAAGACTGAGCCGTCGGAGCAATTGAAACCCACCGTGCGGTGATCCAACGCTTGCTGCTTAGCCGCATGCAATTTGGAAAAAGCCACACATCGCCGTGGAGGCGGGCAACTCCTTGCCCCTCTTCGACCCATAAGACAGACAGCACGCCTCCAAATGCCGCTCCATCGCCCCCACTGGTGAGGCACGGGGGGGGGGGGGGGGGGGGGGGGCTCGAAGAGGGAGCGAGATCAGGTGGGGTGCGCGGCACATCGAGGGACAACTTCGGCCAGAGTGGCAGGAGGTTGGCAGCAATAATGCAATAAGCACGGGCGGCATCCACCAGACGAATCACTTCCTCCATCTCCTCAGGGGCAGACGGGTGGAGCAAAAGGCCATGCTTGGCCCCAATGTCAGCATCAGGGTTCCCTTTGCGGAGAAACCTCTCAAGAGCAGACAGGCCCTCCTCTTCCAGACTGAGGTGGGCCTTGACCTTTACAATGTCCTCTACAAGCTGACTTCTTCAAAAGAGTTGGCCTGAAGGATCATGTCCGAATCGGTGCGCTTCCCCGGGTATCTTTCCGTCTCGGGGAGCCAACTTTGATGCGCAACATTGGCACAATCAGAATAGAGGACCGAAGGAAAAATCATAAATTGGGCAACCGCACACCTAGCTGAGAATTCAGCGGCGTGTGGGGTCTGCGGGTAGTGGGCCCAGACAGGGCCACGAACCTCTCCAAGGCACTCCCAATCGTCCGAATTCATTGAGACAGCCCAAGAGGCCCTCGAGAGCTCTCTAATGGGGTGGCGCTGGCAGGACCCGTCAATGAAGAGGTGACCCCACATTTCTCCATTGGCGGGGGCCCTGGGGCCCTCAGGGCTGATGGGCTCTTTGCAATGCCAAATGTGCTGAAGGGAGTTCGTACCTCTTGAGCTGGCCTAGGGAGCCAGTCGGCGGGGCGGGCGAAAGCCCCTCGAACCGACCGACGGCAGCGTGACGGAGTTAGGTCGCGAGGGCAACGTGGCTCAGCCACAGGGGGAGACTTGCCCCTGCATTGGATCTGGCCTTGGGGGTGGAGCAGCAACACCATGGCAATGCATCGACGAAGTGATGGACAACGGTCTGCAGGTGAAGATGCGCGGTCGGACTTGGTGGCATGCGCGTGAGGCCGCCACCGCCGATTGGCTCATATTTGGGGCTTCTCGCCATGCTGCCGCGGTCCCGCTTCGCTCGGAGGGAAAGGGATCCGTTCCTGACGACGGTTTCCGTGATGGCGGACGTTCTGTATCTTGCCCCACCCACCCATTCAAGTTCGTTCGTGGTTCGGCGCTGGGATGGCTCGAGCTCCACGTCCAGCTCCGATTTTGCCAGGATGAAGGGGAGGTGCAGGGGAGGGAAGAAGCCGCCATCTTCGATGAAGGCTGCCGCCAGGGAGCCAGCCCGTGATTATTGCAAGCAGTATTGAGCCGTCTTGTCCCATGCTGCCACCCCTTCTCGCCGCATGTGGATAGCAGGCTGCGAGTCTGGTTGTTCAGTTGAGGGCTGAGTTGTGTTGATTGCACTGCCTGCGCTCTCGGTCTCAGCGTAACTGTGTCGTCGTACTGCGTGTGCTACCTCACTGCAGCACGTCAGGTGTAGCGGTGGCGAAGCTTCCAAGACCAACGGGAGACCACCAGGAGGAGGAGGGAGGAGGAGGGATGGAGGGAGGGAGGAGGGAGGGAGGGTATCGAGTATCGAGCTATTCGACGTAGTCGAGGAAACAAACTAGAGGCGGCTTCGCTGCTCAGCTTTGCTAAGAAGCTTTGGCCACTTCCCCTGCTCACTTCGATCGAGGTACTCGCCTCGGTGAGCAGGGATCTGATAGTCACATGGCTTGCTAAGGGCTCGATTCTGCTGCCTGCCGCAGCGACCGCAGCCACGGCATAACCAAACCTTATGTGCAAGTTGCAATCGCATCGCATGTGTCGGATCGACCCAACCCCCAGCTATATGGAGCGGCCCCCCCCGAGGGACCGCTGCATATTTACTGTCTAATGTGACGGGCTGAAAGCAATCTGACTGCCACCATTCTTTCTGGGTGGCAAGGGTGGCTGAGCCACAACATCGAAGACAACTCTTTCGATCGTCGCTGAGGCTGTGGGCAGAGCAAAAGGCCGAGACGAGGGAGGGGGCGGGGGAAGGAGGAGGAGGAGGCGGGCCCCTACTCCTCACGGCGCCGTTCCCACCCCGCTCCTCGGCCTCCAGCGCGTCCGCCGTGGCGCGCACGAGGCGGTGGCGGACCAGGGCGGCCGTCCTCTCGGCCTTGTAGGCCCGCGCCCTCGCCTCGTCGGGGACGCGAGCGCGGCGGGCCGCGGCGCTGGCGACCTCGTCGGCAACAAGATTGCCTTGAGCAAGCCAGGGCGGGACCTCGCGGGCAATGATATCATCAGCCGTTAAGTGCGAGTTGATGAAGAGCAAACTCAACTGAGTCGGACGGGCCTGCAACTTTTTTCCCAGGATCAGCCAGAGGTCAGCATTGGGCCCAGAGGGCCTCTTATACAAACCAGAATAGAAACCCTGGGCCACAGCTCCATTGTCAGTCACATAACAAACGAAACCGCGCGTGCATTCCACAGCCAACAGAAGAGCTCGGAGTTCACCTCGGGGCACGGACTGAGATTTCCCAACTAAGGGCCCACTCACCGACGACCGAATGCGGCAGGGCTCAGACGAGTCGAATGCAACAATCCCGAGCCCCACACGAATGAACCGTTGGTCTGCTGCATTGCTACCTCCACTTGCATCGCCAAAAACAATGATGGGATCGTGATCGGACCCTTCTCCAAGACAGCCCTCAAGATCGTTCGACGAGCTGCCTCGAATGTGCCAATCTTCCGAAGACGGGGGCGGTGGCACAGCAGTCCACGCTGCAGGGATGAGGCCCCGCAGCCAAAAGCACGCTTCAGAGTCTGCACCTGCATGCGCTGCCGACGTGAGCGATTCAGAATCTGTGCATGCCTTACACTCCCTGTTCTCAGCACACCCCCAACTCCTATGGAAGGGGGTCTCGGGCTCCTCAAAACACCTGGGACATAAAACTTCCTGCTCCCCTTTCAG